GGAAGATATAAAACGGAGAGAAATGGGAAGAATCACAACCGAGAGCAATTCCCCAGGAAGTATAGTGTAGTTCGCTGCGGACGGTTGGGCGTGTCAGTGCGGCTGCGTTTGGCGCGGTGCCAAACTCGTTCTCACCAGTTGTTGAAGCGAGCAAGTGATATGACTGTATCATATCGTTCGTATTACTCGTTTTCTACCACTTTTTGTCGCATGCGCGTTTCAAGAAGGCAGAGAACGGCTTTGACGCTGTGCACACTCATACTGGCTGACACGCCCAACCGTCCGCAGCGAAGTAGAGTGTATTTACGACTATCCCCCTCTACAACCACCGAATACGAAGCCTTCTCCGGTTCGTTTCCTATCTTATCGTTTGTTATCCGAGACGAGCAGACAGCAGAGGTGAGAGACGCCTGTGGAAGAGGTGCCACAGTTGACAGTCTCGGTCCTCCCCCAGCATCAACAGCCCATTCTCCTCTATTTGAAAAGGGTAAAAGAATGTAGCAAAATACCGAAACTTTTGCAGAACGAGGAGGAGTTCAGAAAAACTCGTTTGCTATCTTATCGCACACAATTCATGATGAAAATCCGTGGACTAGTCGAGAAATCGCTTACCTATTGAGATTTGCCAGATATCTCACTTCGAAATCGCACAAAGTTACACGAGGAAAATGGCCGGATTCAGTCCACGGCTTACCATTCATCAAATCTTGTAGGACCTGAACAGGTCGTTTGTATTGTTTTTCCAATGAAATTTAAAAAAGAAGGCAACCTGGAATCCAAATAGTAAGTACTCGTCGGATTTGAGGCACGCATTGAGAATCATAAATTGAATAACAATGTTGAGCGAATAAAATAGTTTTGTAAGTAGATAGAGCGTTGAAACATAGTGGCCGGCAAAAAGCCTGAAATTTATATGTGTGAAAACAGTTCATTTGCACCAAAACGTTTGATGTAACACTCCGAATGAAAAGCTCACTAGCCGGGGAAGGATATTGTACTCTGCAATTGATAGAACTTCTTGACAGGATTTTACACTAGGGAACAAAGGTGCGTAAAATGACGGTGTCATCGCCCCTCCCCTTGGAACACGACCGTCTGGGCTCTTTATCCCTTTTGAGAGAAAGTATGCTGTGATGGGGGGAGGGGCATACAACTCCCACTCCCCTTCAGCGATCGAATACGTTCCCCCGGCACTATTTACCCTTTACTGCCCGCCATGCAGGAAATCAGGCCAGTTCCTGACCGACTTTTTTCTCCGTGGGCAGAATTTGCTGAAAACTTGGCTCCAGGGGTACTTTGACCCGCTGAACACGAATATCGCATCCGCTTCAACCCGAAACCTCCTGGCGCCCGCACCACGGGCGCCGGCGCCAAAATAGCCCAATCATTGGCGCCTGTGGCGCGGGCGCCAGAGAGTTTCGGGCTGAGCGAATGTGATATCCGTATTCTGGAGGTCAAACTACCCCAGTAGACAACATTTGAGCAAAATCTGTCCACGGAGAAAAAAGTCGGTCAGGAACTGGTCTGATTTCGGATGACTGGGGCAGTAAAGGGCAAATAGTGCCCTTCCCCCTACCCCGCGGGATTCACAAGCGATTAGTGTACTCGTGCGCGCTCCACACTGTAGATAAATGACCTCATAAGAAAGCCGTGCGCTTCCTCCATGCAACAAGCTGATATGAATTTCCTTTTGTGGGAACTACACTCTTTGATTTCAGTCGACGGCCATTACATCTTCGCATGGCAGTTCCATTGGGTGATCTGTAGCATCCTAGATTGGTCAACTGAAGCTACGCGGAGCAGAGTGCGTCTATCGCTGAACATATACATGTAAAAGTTTTCAATGAAAAATTCGAAGAGTAGAACTCGAAAGATGAGACCAAATATCAATAAGAGGTATTCAAAGGACATCCGTTTCTGATAATATACGCATTTCCCTTAAAAACGGGAATCTCTTACCTCTCCTGGCCCTAGCCCAATCCCGATAGCAGGTAAACGATGTTATGCCAGCAAAAGTCGTTTACCTCCTACTAGATGAATGATTAGCTGCTGGCAGATTCATGCCTTACGAAGGCACCAGTGCAGTCAGCTGTTTATCTACATCTAGATCATAACTGAAGGTGTGGCGCCTTTATGTTAGCATGAAATCTTGCCAGCAAGTGAAAAACAGAACACCGAAATGGAAGTCTGCGAAAGTATGACGTACAAAGAAGAGAGTGTAAACGAAGAGTAAAGCGTGAAGTAGCGAAAATTATAAGACCGTTACAAATAAAGGATGTAGAAGATCAAGGATAGACTATAATAAATCAAAAATATTAAAAGAAAGAGGAAGGAAAAGAAAGAAAATACAAGTGCAGCACTTCAATTAGAGAACATTTTTGTGCCGTGGTACTGGAGGGAGCTATTTTGAGATATGAATTCATTTCTAAGGCAAGTACTCCGGAAATGCCTCTTGCTTGAAAACTCGCAACTTCTTTGAGAGCAGAGCTTCTGAATGAGGGGAACAGGGCTCCGTAGCGCAAGGTTAGGTTTTGAGTGAGTTCAAGCGCTCCCGAAAAACCTCGTTTTTAAGGAGCATTTCCCGCTGTGACGCCATTGTGACATTTTGGGGTAGCTTCGGAAGTATTATGCTTCGAATTTTCGCTGCCCAAGAGAACTTCCAGGTTTTGTTCCCAGAACTGCTTCTTTTCTTTTGTGTTCTTGTGGCATCTTTCGGTCGACCCGAAAAACCCACCGCTCAGGCGTAATACCACTTCCAGTTCGTTTAAAGACTTTGGTCTGTCAGAACACATATTTCCTCCAAGGTTACCACGAAATAGTTCATTCGGCGCGAATGGCATTCACCTCTGTAATACGCGGTGCTTACGGCCCCACGCAGAGGTGTTAGAAAAACTGTACTGGTGTAACCTTCTATGGGGCTTCCCCCGTGCAAGCAGATGCGCTCCTGCGGTCAAAAACGTGCAAACGTGTACTTTCATTTGTTTACCAATTCATGACGTCGTTGTGGGCGGCCATCGTATTTCCTGTCATCGCCCGTTCCCCACTTCTGCGCTGGCAGGTTGCTTCTGTCTTGTGTGTGTCTCTTCAGGTGTTCTTCACATGAAGAACAATGAATAAGTCTTCCATCATTCTAGCTGTACAATATCTAAGTATTGCTTCTCTCCCCACCTCAGAAAAGGCCCTGCGCTCACGCTCCCCCCCCCCCCCCGGCAGTCGAATACCAATCCTCTTTTGTGATTATCGCAACGATGGCGTGCCCTGGCTGCATTGCCCCGTCGAGTGAGTTGGGTGATGGACCCGCTTGTCACGCTCTTTTGGCACCCTCGCTAATGCTCGGATAGGATGAACTACACAATGAGCGAAAAGGTAATCAACATTACCTTCTGACGTTCCGACGGATCTACAACAGCTTGCGTGTCGCATGCGGCGTTAATGAGGTGCTGAATATTCAATCCTAAAAAATGACAAATTGAGGTTTCATTTGACTGGGACACTTTATTGTGTAGAGCTATTGAATTCTGCAGTGCTGGTGGTCGGATTATTCGTAAATGGACATATCAGCTCTCTCTCTGGCAGTCCGTTTTTTTTCTAAAAAACTCGCATGACAGAAGGGGCACCAAAAAAAAGTCAGGTTATTGATCTAGTATACTGCAAAGTTATCAGCTATGCAGAGGGAAAGCAATAGTCTTTACATTCAGGGTTCCTCCAAGATTGAGCTGAAGGTGTGCGAGCGG